TCTAGCCTACAGAAGAGATGACACTTTACATCATTATATGATGTATCCTGTAAGCTAGAGTCTATTACCCATAAATTAAGAAATACCCACAAAGTGTTCCCCATCCATTCCAGGATACTTCATTAGTAGTGATGGTGTGAGACGGCAGTGTAGGCCAGAAATGACAACCCTGTTGTAAATTGTAAAATTCAACCCAAGAACACAGGGAATGTCTCAAAAAACACGCGCATGTGCGTGCACACACAGTATAAGTACTGTATCTGTGACTCAAAATCAGAACTAGTTCTGGAGCATGTGAATATCCTTTTCATAGGGAACCACCTCCATGATGGCTATCATGAGATCAAGCAGCCTCTGTATAGTCACAACCCTGACCCATATTTGAAGACTGATGTCATAGTCCATGATGGAAAGGACAATAACTTTGGGAGGAGGAAGGAATGCTGTGTCCTTGAATCCAATTAGATTCCTATGTACAATAGGACTGTGAGCATGTTGAATAATATTTTGTATTCTCTGCTTCTAAGATTTTCTCTTGCTTCTATCCATTACAAATATCTACCTGTCTCTTACTTTTCATATGAGTGAACTCTCTTCTTGCCCTATTGATCCCCATAGTGAAGATGCTGCTCAGGACTAAAACTAGGATCAGGAGCTCATGTCTCCAAAGGTGTCTGGATTAATAAAACAAGATTTTACAAGGTACATCTTTATCCCTGTGTATTATGAATCATTTCAAGGTACTAAGAAGTGCAGTTCCCAGTTACCTGAATTGTGATGAAGTTTTTTAACTTGTTTGTAAATGAGCTAGAGTTTAGAGGCTAACTATGAGTTGAGCAAGTCTGGGAATGATAGCAATGTTTCAGTGAAATAAAACTAAAGAGATTTCAAATGGCATTTTATCTTTTGAAAGAAATGTATAAAAAGGATGCATAGCTGGTTTGTGGTTTCTGGCTTACTGTTGGTTTCTGTTTATGCTTTGCTCAGGCCTGATCCATTCACAAAGGTGCACGGTGAAGATAAGCTAACAAAGAAGGGAAACCAACTAGAAATTGGCCAAACAAGATTACTTTGCTAGCCTGCAAGATAACTTTAGCTTATTCAGCAGAGTGATGTATAAATGCATGACTGCAGTACAATATGTTTGAATGTTGCTCCTCTCATGTTGGTCTGGATTTTGATACTATGCCCAGATGGCAGCAATACATAATTCCTCACATACAGCCCTGTCATACTATAAAATATGATATTCTAAGATGCATATTGTTGCTTCAACTGAACTGGGTTCTCAGCTTTTTTGGAATTAGATTTTCTTATAAGCTGTATTAACTTCCTGATTTAATGTTAATTCATGTGACCTGCCTGGAGTCTCAGAAGAACCTTCAAAATGACTTTGATTATTTGCTTAATATATTTGCTTAGTAGATCACCTTGACTGGAAGTATAATAATTTTTTAATGCAAAAGATGAGTTCCTTCGCTGCATCCATACAATTCAAAGGTTATTTACATAGAAAGTTTGATTATTCCTTCCTTACCTATTCGACAAATTACTATGTTTGTGTCTATGCTGCTCACCAATCTTAGTTCTTAAAACTCTTTTCATCTTCTAAAGGCTTTAAGAATCCATTCCAAAAAAATATAAAGTATAGCTACATGCATGAAAAAATTGCTTAGGATCCTGAATCTCCAAATACGATTGATTAAAAATACAGGAACTTTTGCCTTTTACAAGGCTGATAATCAAGAGAGAGATCTGCTGGCTTTTCTGTAATGCTGCTTCACCTCTCCAGTCCCAGTTTTCTATTTCCCAGGAAGGATCTAAGGATATATATGCAATAGCACAAATAGGCATATTGTGCAGTGATTTACATAATCAATTAGAACATTTGACAATAACAATAACAAGCAGTAATATAAGTGTTCAATTTTCCATCCTATTTACTAATGATATTTTCACACTTCAAGCAATGACATAAAAGCTGCTGGGCCATCTATTAATTTCCCAAGCACATTAGTGTATCCACTTCAAAACAGAACACACTGATCAAGACAGAAGTTGGCAGGAAGGTTCCAGGTTCCTCTTATTGTAGAGGAACTAAATCCACATTTTCAGCAAATTATGCACTTCTTTATACCAAGGGGCTCAAAATATAGCCTAATATCAATTTTGAACAGTAGAAAGTACAATTCCCAAAGGATGTTGCTGTCTTAATGTCACTAATATTCCATCTTACTGTCCTATACTCTTGCTAATAAAAAAAGGAGATCCTGAACAGTAAATCTTAATTCAAGATACTTTGGAGGGTGTGTCTGTGTATGTGATGGATAGTATATTTACTGTTGGCTACAGCTTGGGTTAAGTTGGCTTGACTCCTAGTGACCATACTGACTTGTCCATGTTGGTTTCCTGGCAATAATATAGTAGTAGTTTGTCATTTGTTTTCTTCAAGAGAATGCCTTGAGTTTCAGAAACTTGGAACAGTTTTTTTCTTATTTCTCTTAGTAAAAGTTCATCAATCTATAGACCAGTGTTTCTCAACCTTGGGAACTTTAAGATGGGTGGACTTGAATCCCAGAATTTCCCAGCCAGCCAAGGTTGAGAAATACTGCTATAGACTATCTTGCCTCATACAGATTGCCCCATACACTGTGGGGCAAGAGAAGAAAATTAAAACATATCTGGATGTGCAAAATTCCCATCTTGAATTCCATCGTGCCTCTCTACATTTCCAATACTGGATCTCAGATACTAGCAATTCCTCTTCTCATTTATAAGCTCTGAAAATTTTCCACAGATATATTTTAGTGATATGTGAGCTTGACTTGCAGTGACCACATGTCCTTGTTGTTTTTAAGCAACAGAACTGTGGTGGTTTGCCATTTGGCTACCTGGTTTTTCAAATTCAACATTCTTCCTATATTATTCAATATTTAGATGAAAATAGTAGACACAGAAAGTTATGTGTGTACTTGGGGAGCATCTTCAAGAAATAGGAGAATGATGCTCTGCCTCTTTGTTTTCACCCATTCATCTTAAGGATATTATGGGATAGTTTTGCTGGTACCTGGAAATGTGGAGTGGATAAAAAGTTTACAAACTAAAGCTTTATTCATATACATGGAAATGCTCTGAGAAATTGCCTCCTATAAGCTGATGTGCAGCAGACTTGAATGAGGTTATACCAATTTCAGTTCTGAAATTAGTGATATCTACCTAAGCAAATAAAAATGGAAATGGAGTTCAGCAATATTTTCTCTCTGCTTAAAAACTAAGACCCCATCTGGAAAGGATGGGCTGTCCATATAACATCTATGCTGGATTATGCAAAGTAATTTACATGGGGGATGCCTTTGAAGGCAGTGCAGAAACTTAATTTAGCATAAATGTCTTTCCTATTTTTTTTTCCTTGGGAGCATAATATGTGTGTCATCAGTGCAGCTTATATGAGCTGTACTAATTACTGGTACATTTCCCAGCAGAAGATACTAGTAATAATCTGTAAAGCTCCAAATGCACAGGTTACTTGCATTCCTTTAACCAGCAATCCTATGCATTTTACAAGGTGAGATTGAATTACTATAACAGCCTGGAGACATAACAGAACAAAGTAGATACAGTACAATGCATACACAAATATATGCATTGCTAACAGGAATGAAGATGCTTCCAAGAACTGAGTAGGACTATTTGTCTCTATGTAATCCAGCACTAGAAAAGCTTCCCAAAGTCTGAAGCTGGGAATCTTTCCCATCATTTGGCAAATAATCCTCTTACTGGGAGATACTGAAAATTAAATATGCATACAACAAGCTATGAACTCATGGGGATTCCCTACGGCAGTGTTTCTCAAACTTGGCAATTTTAAGATGGGTGAACTTCAGCTCCCAGAATTCCCCAGCCAGCATGTGTGGACTTCAACTCTCAGAATTGGCTGGCTGGGGAATTTTGGAATTGAAGTCCACCCATCTTAAAGTTGCCAAGATTGAGAAACACTGCCCTAAGGTATTGTAAAAAAAACCCTTCAAGATGGAAGCCACAAAGGTGTGATTGAAGCTCCACCCCTTTTTATGTGTGTCTTCTTTAACCACACCCTGCAGACACCCCTATGTAACCTCTTAGCACCTCCTCTGGATTATGACCTCTCTTTACACCATCGTTTGCTGTCTTTTGAAATAAATAACATTATTGTTATCCACACTTAGTCTTCCATATTGGCACCAAAATTAATTTCAGGTAAAAGTAGAAGGATCAGTTAGGAAAAGAATTGGAAAGGAGTAAAATAATAAAGCATATAGTAAAGAGAAAGAGAAGAATATTGAAGACATCCTTCCCACGCAGGACACTGGATAGGAATTTCCTTTTGTTGTTGTTGTTAAACCAAGTCACATAAATATCTTGTTTTGTTACCACTGTGTTATGAAACCATGGTTTAGGGTTAAGTGAACAAGCCTGGAATGAGCATGAAATACCATGCTCCTCATGAAGTTCACTGCAATCTTCCCTCTCATTTGGAGAAAACCAATTGCTTTTTACTTCCATGGAGGAGCATCAAACCATGGTTTATGATTCTGGTGTGCAGGGGAAGCATAAACTATATTTTCTGAAATATTTCTCTTATGATACAAGTAGAATATTAACAGGCTGTAAGAAGCCCATTCCTTTCCAATTAACTTCAAGTACACATTTTTTTCAATATTCACCAATAGGTGATCAATTACATTTAGTTCCCTTTGAAGAAGATACAATATAATAAGCATTTCTGGGGTAAAAACCTCTTCTTGAATAATTTTAGCTAGGTTTTCAAAAAGTGTAGTCTCAGTAGGCACTTGGAAATCTAAACAAAATAAAATGAAATGATATTTACAAATGAACAAGAGTTGGGTTTTTTTAAAGCCCCTCCCAATTGGCACCCATTGCCTTAGCCTCGTGACTCATAACTAGCACAAAATGCAGGCACCCAAAGCCTCCACCTCTTTTTAACAGAGAGACGGTTGGAATTAATCAGAGTTGACTGCATGCAATTCTTCTTTACTTAAATTATTTGATATATTTTACAACCCTGCCAAAGTTTGCTGTGATTTATCTTTTATTTTTTCCTTTTAAACAAGCCCATCTCACACAAAGCACCAGCTCTTTCTTATCAAACGAATGGAGAGGAAGCATGCAGAGAGGTGAGTTTTGCAAAGCAGACAATTCCCTTGCGTGTGAAGACTGTGCTAATTCAAGCCTGTGTACTCTTAAGGATAAAGGGTGAGAAAACATAAACACAGCTGGCAGAAGTGGTGGGGTGATGTTTCTGCGTATAACTTTTTTTGGGAGAACTTTGTGACAATATCACTGCATTCCTCACTGCGTCTTGCTCAATGGGTTTCAACAGGCTGCAGAGGGACGAGAGAAGCTCACAGTACACGTCAAGGCTGTCAGGAAAGTAAATTATATCTATTGCCTGTTTTCTTCCCCAATTTGATTTTCTGACAGGAGTTTCCAGGGCAACTATGGGCTTCAGTTTCAAGCTTTTCAGTGAAACTCAAGAATGCAATTTCAAAGATGTTGGAGGATGGGAGGGAATTTTACAGGTCAACACGTCTAAACCTGCTCTGTTGGATCCTCAAGCTTACTCCCTTACTTTCTTAGGCTGTCATCTACTCAGCTGCAGGGTGGGCCAAAATGTACGTGCAACCAAGGCAGCTGCTTAAGCAGAATCCCTTTTATAGAAGAAGCACAACCTGAGCTGTATAGCCCAGGATCTTTTGCAATGTTACCAGGATAGTGGGGCAAAAGCTTTGCGTAAACTCTAAAGGAAGAATTCTCTATCCCTGGAGACTCGTCTGGGGCAGGGTAGAACAGTGTTTTTCAATCCTGGCAACTTTAAGATGTGTGGACTTAAACTCCCAGATTTCCCCATGCTGGCTGGGGAATTCTGGGAGTTGAAGTCCACCCATTTTAAAGTCGCCAAGGTTGAAAAAACACCGGGGTATGAGGTCTGAAATGTTTCAGTGAAGTGACCTAACTCTCACTTAGGTCAGATCTAGGTGGCTAGAATTAAACTCTTTATGGTTTACCATTTTCAAGATATGCCTTTAATATTTGGAATTCTGGTGGTTTTTTTTTATTATAAGTGCCCTTTCTAAATGAAACTCATGTCATACCACAGAAAAGGCTTAAATAAGGAGAGTGATGTCTGCAAGGGTGTGTGTGTGTATGTGAAAACAGGCAAGATGGTAGACGGGGTTTGCATCATGATACTGTACCTGCCATCTTGCCTGCCTTGAAAGACCCCCCCCCCATGCCTCCACTGGGAGATGCTGCTGAGGGAACATTATTCACTTTAAAGTTACTTTGCTCTCAATACATGCCTGATGAATAACTATTTCATTCAAAGTGGCTCCATTGAAAATAACATTTCCCCTATTATATATTTTATGTATTGAATTCTACAAATCATGATCATGCTCCTACAGCACTGATGGGCTCAAACCATTCAGATGTTTTTATATGTCAGTATACAAATGAAAGTAGAATAATCAAGAGTTAAGCCTGTCTTCTAGTGCAGTAAATCTTGATATTTGTAAAGTCTTCTTGGAAGAGTCACTGCACAGAAAGGCTTTTGCTTCAATGGAGATATTCCACAAATCTGGTGAGTTTCACCCTCACTGAAATCAATGAGAAGTTTGTGAGAGCAAAGTTCTATAGACTCATGGCAGCACACCTGATTGGTGGCAAAATTAACCCTATCTATGATTTAACTGAGAGCCAGTTTGGTGTAGTGGTTAAGGCACTGGGCTTGAAGCTGGGAGACTGAGTTCTACCCTATGTTAGGCACAAAGCCAGCTGGGTGACCTTGGGCCAGCCCTAGGAAGAAGGCAACTGCAAGCCACTTCCGAAAGTGGTTTTAGGGACTAATCTATGCAGTCGCCAGGAGTCAATGCTGATTCAAAGGGACAAAAAAAAAAAAAAGGAAGAAAAAAGAAAAAGAAAAAAGTTAATTACAATTTTTTTATGTGGGAAGAAGAATGTTTACATCTTCATCCCTGATTTAGATCCAAGTCCCTTTATCAATGTAGATAACAGGCAGCTAGTATGAGTCGTGATTGTAAGATGTTTAAGTGAAATATAGTTCCTTAATCAGTAAGAAACTCTGCTGCTTTTTTTGGGTGCTGTATAGAATTTTTCACAAGCAAGAACAGATGCTTGGCAACAACTAATCAGTAAAAGATTAGAAATCTTTAATATAAATACCACTTCTCATAACTGTATGCTGGATTTTTAGTTTTCTTAGTATTGTACTTCCTAACTGGAGGATAGAGGGAAAAATATGTTGGCTTGTCCCTAGATTGGAGAATAGCATGAACATGCTTGGGGCAAAATGGACCATACTGGCTAAAATGTGCCAAAAGTAGCCACTACTATCCTTACTGTTAATAGGGAATTTAAATATGCACCCTAATCTATTTTCAACTTCTTTTAAATCAATATGTGAACCCCTTGATTGACCAAAACCATGAGGAGTAGTGTAGGTCAATATCCAAAGGCCCATCTGGTGACTACTATGGAAGTTTGAGACTTGGAATGTAAGAGAAGTATATGATAAAAGAACATAAATAAATTAATGAAATGGAAGGGGAAAAACAGATGTCTTATGCATTTGTGAAAAAAAGAGAAAGGAGAAGGATATGAAAGATCTGACTGAAGGTGGTTCTGGAGCAGAACTGATGAATATATCCATGGAAGGAGTATTTAATTATGAATAAAAAGGCTAAAATGTATGTCAGAAAGCATGAACTAGTGTGATCTAGATTGTTGTGGATGTGTGCGAAAATAGGAATGCACGTTATACTCCAGTCGACTGTAACAGTGTAAAAACCAGGAATGAGTTTGGGGACATTCAGTAACATTCTGGGGAAAAAAGTAATGAATGGATGAAACAGATGGGAGAGTACAGACAAAGTGATCAGAACTTTTGGAGACCCAAGAATGAATGAGATGGTGACCCTTTGGTGAACATGTGCTTATAAAAAGCTCAGTTTGTTCCGAATATGTGGTTTAAACATAAGTCTATTCATATATTCACATGGCAAGGATATGAATATAAATCTAAAATCATGATTGATTTGTTAATGATGAAAAATTGAGACAATTAGTGAATGGTGACAAGAGGATTTGAATGTGGGTCAGACCATTTTTTGGTAATGTCAAGGGTGGATCTTGGGAAAAATGGACATGGAAGAAACAAGAATGAAAGCAGAATGACTGCAGCAAGAGTCCTGTTTGAAAAAGTATTGAATGACAGATTACTTTCTCAACTGAATGTATGGTAAGTGGACACAAGAAAAAGTGATGTGGAAGAAGAAAAGAATGATGTTCTACAGGTGCGTGGAGTTATATTCCAGATTTGAATTGGAATGATAGTTGACAGTAGAAGTGTGTTGGAGATATAGATGACAGTGAACTTTTGTATGCAGACAATAAATACTGTGTTGTTGGCTAAGAACCTGAATGATTTGTAGTGGCTGTTAGATTTTATGATATAACAAGGAATATGGAACTGAAAATTAATGTATCAAAGACAAAGTAGCTGTATTTGACAGGGAAAATGGAATGAGTAACTGTAAGTCATACATAAATGGGAAAAATAGAGCAAGTAGATACATTTAGGTACCTTGGCAGAATGTTTATTAAAGTTGGGAAATTAAGATATGGTGGTAGGAGGATGGCAAGCAGGATGTAGTTAGTTATGAAGAATGAATGTTTGCCAAATGAAGTGAAAATGGCTGTGTATAAAGCTTGTTACTGTATTTATATATTAGATTTATATACTGAGTTTCATTCAGAAGCTTAAGGTGGTGTTTGTAGTGCTCTGTCCTGTGACATAGGTTGGGCTCGGAGAGAGTCAGTGGCCCAAAGTCACCCAGTGAGTTTCTGCTCCTGAAGGTGGACTAGAACCTGGGTTTCCTTGCTTCTAGTCCAATAGTCTAACTGTTGAATAACTCAGGAAGAGCAGAAAAATTGAATGCTGTGAAAATGGATCATTTAAGAAGCCATGTCTGGTAAAACGAGAAAAGATACTATCAAGAATTAGTGGGTCCTGAATAATTCTGGGTTGAATTCAAAAGCAAGTGACTAGTATGAAGGAAGTAGAGTGAAGTGATTTGGTCATATAGAGAGGATGAATGAATGAATTGCAAAGTATGTGAAGAAAGAGTGAATGGGTGAAGAGGAACAGCAAGAATGAGAAAGTTGTTATTGGATGGAGTTGATAGAGAGCCTCAAGAAAAAAGCATTGAGAAGTTTGAAGAACAAAGCAATGTATGAATCAGTGCATTGCAGAGATAGAAAAGTATGAGAGACAGAGTAAATGACAATGTAAACTAGTTTTCACTATATTTCTTTCTCTTTTTATCTCATGCCTTAATTTCTTTGGCTCACTATTTCCTACTCTTTCTGTGCTTTACATAATATTGCTTACCATGAAATAAATTAAACTTAAGCTGGGTATATAGTTTGTTACTGAATTTTAAGTATATCTTTTAAGAATCCTGGGAAGAATGCAGCAATAACACATAAAGCAAACAAATAATATGTTAGTAGAAAATTAATGTCAAAAGGAAAGTACGTAATAGCAAAAGACTGTCGTTCTACCTCTTTAATGCACTGCATTAATTTGACGTAACAGTTTAGGAAGTGATTTGCTTGACACAATCCAATGAGCAGGACAACTGCGTGACAAAGTCAGCCCCATGTCCTGAGCGTGGGAAAAGAGGGGTACATCCTTCTTGCCATAGACTAACTTCAAATACATACCCAGTACAGTACATCTGTCCAGCCCTCCATGGTGATGCACTGAAACACAGTTAACATGGCAAAGGCAAAGTTGTCAAAGTTGGTAATGCCATGTTTGGGTCCCTCCCATATGGGCCTACAGTCAGTGCCATTCTGACATTGCCGTCCATGTTGAGATACAGGAGCACAGGGAGCAGGTTCCTCTTCTGCAGGTGTATCTTAAACAATGGAGAGAAAGAGAGAAAAATCAAACAATTAAAACAGTGCAATGAAATGGTAAGGGAAAGAGTTATTGGCTTGCAAATGGAGACATGGAATCTAAGTCACTGATAGGGTTGCATCATGTCTCAAAACAGAAGACATATTCAAAATCGAGCGCTGTCACAAAACTGAGGCAATTCTGCATTTGTAAACAGGCAGATTGAGGGTGTTGTGTGTGTGTGTGTGTGTGTAGAAGGGCTCTTTAAAATGTTGGCATGATTAAAAGAAAACCATTCTTCTTCTTTTTTGTTTGATGGGGAATGCTGATGAAAACCACACAAAGCCATAAAGGTAGTCTTGGTAAGAATCCTGCCAAA